ATGCACTATGGACAGGTACATTTTTTGAAGAGGCTAAAAATCATGAATTCTCAGTGACCCGTTGCACTTTATACAGGTAAATTTTTTCAGAAGTAGTTAAAATTCAGTATCTGTCTATATTTCTGAGATGTGGTATTATGTACATTATTTATATTATTCAGACTATTCTCCTCATCTTTGTCGCTATATTTATTACAACATTTTGGCCGTTGTACACTCCGGCCTTCTTTAGGTGGTTGGAATGTTGAACTTAACCCTTTATTTCACTCACTGGGTTAGACTGTTCTAGTTCCATGTGCCATGTTTAATGGATGTCAGTTATCAGTTATCTCCTGTTAATTTCTCTCTGAAAGTTCTCCACTGCCTTAACCATGTATTGAACTCATACTCTTCAGGACAGTGGATAAAGGCATTGATTAGATCTAGTTATCCACTATGCCAAAAAGAAAAAAGATGGGTGAGTGTCAAATAGCTTGGTGAGGAAGAGTGTATGTGCCACCTAACTTGGTAGAGAAAGCAGGTGAATGAGTAAGGGAATCTCTTTGTTGCCATGCATGTTGTAAAATTCTGCTGTCTGTATCTGTTTCTTGTTTGTTCATTGGTTGAGAAATGTTAAATATTTATTGTCAAAGGATTGATTTATTAACCAGAAGGATGCACAAATCCTCTGACACAGAAGTCATGTTTTTTTTATCATTTGATGAGTGACTGACTTGATGTTTATTTCCATCTTCCCTCCACAGATCTTTCAAAGAATTCATGTTTTCACCAGGCAAATATTCTCACTGTGCCTTTTTATTTAGATACCTCTCTTCTTGATTACAAAGATTCATGTTATGCACTCATTTATCCATACTAATTATATACATGGAGGCATGGCAGAGTAATGGATAATTACTCAGAGGAATTGGAGAGCTGAGTTCCAATTCCAGTCATGTTTGTTATATTCACTTACATACTAATATCCTTGGCAAAAGTATAAATCTATCTCTTCTCCAAATATGGTTAAATAAATAGCAGGGCAGACTGGGTCCTATAGCCTTGGTTGGCAACCAGTCTAGGAGAAGTCTGAATTCAAAACCTGAGTAGTAAGTGACTAAATGGGCTGGTCTGTGAGGAGGGTAAGTGGAACCCCAGCTGCACAAAAGAGCAAGTGCTGTTAAAGGGCTGTTGAACTCCTCAGGGTCAACAGCTCCAACTATGGGTTAAGTAGCTTCACCAACCCACAATTGGCCAAGCATGGTGAGTAGAGATATGTCTCTGGAGACAGGGTCAATCACGGAGGGGTTCCTCCAACAGAAATGAGTATGCCCTGGATTTGAATTTGCATTTTAATTTGATTTACATGCAGACTATTGTCCTCATCTTTGTTGTTATCACAATGTTTCAGCTATTGTTCCCTCCAGCCCTCATCAAGTATTGGGTTGGTGCATAATTATCAGGCGTTTTTATAGGCGAGTTATTTGTTAATAAAAATTGCTGTTTTGTTTACTTTTTTCACTAAAAATATTATTTTATTTTCAGGTTATAAAAATGTGTGTCAATAATCATATGCTCTAGAATAATCATTTAAAAATGTTATTGTTGAATTGTTATGTTTCTTTCTTCATAATAAATATTATTTTAAAACGCCTGATAATTATGCACCGACCCAATATATATTGATCTGGGTAATATCCAAGGTTCAGTTTGCAAATAAACTGTAAATAATGATAATTCCTCATCCCAGAAGTTAGCCATTCATGTTACATTTTTTTTTGAATAATGTAAAATGATAACAAGTATCTGAAATGTCACTAAATTTAAAGAACTACAAAACATACACAATGATCTGTGTCTGTCATCACAATATGTTTATGTACATTTCCCTTAGTCTGTGTACAAAGAGCCTGTAATGTAATCTAACCAGGCATCTTGACTTCAGTCACTTCTCAACAATGCAACATAGCTTCCCTCGGTCTTTTCTACAAATATTTTTACAGCAACTGCTCTGATGAGCTTTTTTCCCCTGGTGCTCTGACTACATGAATTTAAGTCTGCTACTAGATTGGTAACTAGGTCCCACCATTTTACTGTTGAAATAGCTAGATGTAACTGCCACTTCTACTCTAACAGTTTATTTTCTCGCTCTTCTCGCCTGTGGAACTACCTTCCAATTTCTTGTTTCTCTGATAACTAAAATCCACAAAAATTCAAATGCAGCATTAATCACCATATTCTGTCTTCTAGAACCCTGTTCATTTCATGTTTTTTGCTCAATCCTCCCCATTCTTAGTCTTCTCATTCTCTTTCACTTTCAGTCCCTGTAACTCTTTGCATCTTAGTGGAATTATTGCCGTGTTTGGGGTGAAATGGTTAAAAAATGTATGTCCTCTCTCTCTCTCTCTTTTATATATATATATATATATATATACACACACACACTCTTATCTTAGCCAATAAAGCTTCTAAGCTGCTTAAAGTTGTGTATCTTTTAATATACAGGCTGTTCAATATTTATCATTATACTCAGATTAATTTTAATTTAATTTTAAAAATTTATCATCTTTTGGGATGTTATACGATTTGTTTAATAGAACTTACTTCATTTATCATTTCTATTTTATATTAGATTTGAAAATGGCTAAAAATTTAACTAAAAGAATCACCATTTTAGAAATGTACAAGGCAAAGCACTCCCTGAAGGATATTGTCAAATCATTAAAAGTGAATAAATTCTTAGTTTGGAGGACCATCAAAAGATTCTGTGAGATTGGAGATGTGAAGAACAGGCAAAGACAATGTTGTCCTCGAAGTGCTCGAACCCCAGAGCTTATCAAATCCTCCCAGAAAAAGCTGGGAAGAAATCCAAAGAGGTTCTCAGAAATCTTGCAAAAGTTGTCAATGTGTCCATTGGATCCATGTTAACCATTCTACATAAAGACCTTAACATATCTCCTTACAAAAACCAAACTAAACCACTGTTATCTTCAAGCTCTGCAGAGAAACAACAAGCCAGATGAACACATTTGTGATGAGAAGAAATTTTATGTTCAATAGGATTTTAACAGCCAGAATGATTGGATTTTGTCTTGAACTGAAAACAGTTACTTGAAGTTGGACAGTTATTCTGTGATGGTGTGGGAAGCTGTGACTGTGCCAGGAAAAATTCATATGGTTTTATGTGGAAACTGAAAAAATTATGTGAAAGACATTCTTGATCCATTACTGTTGCCTCGGGCTAAAAAAACATTTTGAAAACAGACTTTGGTTGTTCCAACAATATTCAGCACCCTCTCAAGGAGCCAAAACAACTCAAGAGTAGTTAGCAACCCATGTTCCTCTCTTCATCTCAAAGGAAGAATAGCCTCCATCACTTGAATCCTTTTGACTACAGTATCTGGGATTTCTTAGAAAACAAGGTTTCTGCTTCACCCGATCACAGTTTGGGGCATCTAAAGGCAGAACTCTTAAAAAAAATGGGGCACAAAGTGCTATCTGTGTCTCATATGAAGTCATTCACCAAGTGTCTTCAGCAAGTTATTCACACAGAAGGAGGGCATATTGAATAGATGTTGTACCAAATAAGGTTATGAACATTTAGTTTTTGTTTTCACTTTGTTTACAAATTGTTTTGTTTAATAAAGATAAACAAAAAACTTTGTAACACTAATTATTGAATACCCTGTATATATGCTGATGTGAAAATTTATATGGACTGTGTTTTGTGTATATTTACACAACCGTTTTTGTTTAATTTCGGCATTCTCATGTTTGCTGGAGCCAATTTCAAGTCAGTTGAGGTGATGCCATTTAAACAGTCAAAGTGGAATTTTTATGTCCATTTTTTTTTTATTAAACACACTTCAATATATGATCGCCTATAAAGAAGGATAACTTATTTAATATTGGCTGCTTCTCTTTTGTTACAACAGTCTCTAGAATTTAAAGTCTTTCTTTGCACTCTGTCCACTATAAAAATGTTTGTGTTATCTACTAAAATTTGTCATATGCTAATATTATTTCACTTATTTCTTATATGTTGATTTGTATATGTGAAAACTGTATCAAAAATTCAACTTTCACCATTTAAATGATGTGATCTTTTCTGACATAATTTAAATGGTCATACTGGAATTTTTATGCAATTTGCACACATATATCATATGAAGATGATGAAACAAAGTGGAAAATTTATTAACAATGCTTTTCACCAAAAGCATCTGTTTTTTTAGCTTCATCAGCTTAGCATGAAAGAAAAACAAAACTGTATGTGAGAAAAAGGCCTTGGAATCTCTGAGGATAAGTAGAAATCATAAATCAAATTAAATTATGATTAAGATTAAATTTATGATTTCTACTAAAATTATGATTAAATTTATGATTACCACTAAAATTATGATTAAATTTATGATTTCTACTTAAATTATGATTAAATTTATGATTACCACTAAAATTATGATTAAATTTATGATTTCTACTTAAATTATGATTAAATTTATGATTACCACTAAAATTATGATTAAATTTGTGATTTCTACTTATGATTAAATTTATGATTTCTACTTAAATTATGATTAAATTTATGATTACTACTAAAATTATGATTAAATTTATGATTTCTACTTAAATTATGATTTAATTTATGATTACTACTTAAATTATTAAATTTATGATTTCAACTTATGATTAAATTTATGATTTCTACTTAAATTATAATTAAATTTGTGATTTCTACTTATGATTAAATTTATTTCTACTTAAATTATGATTAAATTTATGATTTCTATTTATGATTAAATTTATGATTTCTACATATTCTCAGAGATCCCAAGGCATTTTTCTCACATACAATTTTGTCTTTCTTTCATTCTAAACTGAAGAAGCCAAAGAGAGAGCAGAAACTCTAGGGAAATGCATTGTTCTTCACCTTTGTTTCAGATTCTATTATACAAACACACATAAAGTAATATACATAAGTGTGTGTGTTGAAATTTGAAATATGGTTTTCTCTCTTCCAGGGGCACTTTTATGAAGCATTTCCATCCTAAAACCACCCTAGAATTGAAAAGTTTTGCAATTGATGATAGCCACTATGCACAGCAACGCCAGATGCCTGAGCCCCAGGAGGAGATGCAGCTGAGTAGCCAGCACGTGGATTCTCGAGCAGAGGCCAGGATTGCAAAGCGCATGTCTGCTCCTTCCTTGGAGCATCATGCCGAGAAACAAGCATTAACTGAAGGTCAAATTCACCAGGAAGATGACAACGATACTGAAACAGATAATTTCTTAAGCGCCAACAAACCTGGACTTGACGTCAAACAAAGAACGATGCCTTCTCCAACAGAAGGACGTCAAACAAACCTGGCTAACTATTTTGTAAGTATTTTTTAATATAATATGTTACATTATATGAAATAGACAAAATATTAGTAATATCTAACAATTTTATCAGCAGTAGTGTTGATAATGTTGACTTCAATAGTTTTCATGGTAACTACAGTAGTATTCATAGTGTTATTAGCAGTAGTATTAATAGTGTTATTAGCAGTAGTATTGTTAATTAGATAATGTTATCAGCAGTAGTATTCAAAAGGTTATCAGCAATAGTATTGGTAATTAGATAGTGCTATCAGCAGTAGTATTCATAATGTTAACTGAAGTAGTATTCATAGTGTTATCAGCAGAAGTATTCATAAGGTTATCAGCAGTAGTATTGATAAATTCATAATGTTAACTGAAGTAGTATTCATTGTGTTATCAGCAGTAGTATTGATAATTAGATAGTGCTATCAGCAGTAGTATTCATAATGTTAACTGAAGTAGTATTCATTGTGTTATAAGCAGTAGTATTGATAATTAGATAGTGTTATCAGCAGTAGTATCCTTCATACTGTCCTTTTCTTGACATATTTTATTTATATCTGAATTTTTACATATACATATATATAGTGTTTATTCCTACATTCACACTGCCTATATCTATAAGCACTATCTTCAATATACTGAGAACTCTTTCCCTATAAATATAACAATAATACTAATTGATACATATACATACATAATATACATATATATATATATATATATATATATATATATATATATATATATCCAGGTATGATTAGAATGAATAGCAATTGTGTAGCAATTCTTAAATGTTTTTGTTGTCATAGCCTAAAATAAATATATATATATATATATATATATATATATATATATATATATATATATATATAGGTTCTTTCAATAATTTACATAAGTTTTGTCAGAATAAATGAATATGTATCAACATGATAATTTTCTCTTCCTTTAATAAGGATACTTAGAAGCTTGTCTGTGAATATGAGAGGATCCTATTGAAGATAAGTCAACAAAACTTGTCTAAATTATTTAATGAGACATGTCTTAATGAAAACATGCCATAAAAATATATATATATATATATATATATATATATATATATATATGAAAACTGAAGTGGGACTTTCTTTTCCATAGATTTTTTTTTTTTTTTGCATGTGTTTTATTGCTGAAGAGACCTGGTAGTTTGGAGCTACTTGTTTGTCCTGATTAAGTTTATTGATGGTTTGTAGAAGGTTTTAGCATCCTCATTTAAATGCCACCAAGAACACTGAAATTTAAAAATAGATTCACACATTCAAGGATTTAGCAGGAATTTAAACATACTCAAAGAATACAGTTTCAACAGAAAACCTCATCATTTTTTATTTTTTTATTTCTTGTCTCATTGAGAAAGCACAGAGGCTTTCAAAACTTGTGGTTTTTTAAAATCTTTTACATCATGCTTTAAGTTAGTCAAAAACACTAAATATTATTAGCTTTATTATCAATATTATTATTTTTGTTGTTTTTTTATCTCTAAACTTTCTTTCACTGGCCTATTAAAGAGCAGTAAGTGTTCACCTGAATTCAGTGTTGACTGGTTTACTGTTTTGTCCCAGTCACACTCCTTATTTCATCTCAAAGTAATAAAGTTACTATATATCAAGTCTTACAAACCGTCTCTCTTGTTTGCTAGGGCTTGATATTATAAGCCTCAAGTACTCCCCTCACCATTTTTTCCTCCTTCTCTATCCTCTCATCAATCATTTGCTAATTTATTGTATTTTACTCTTTCTCCTGATTAAAAACTTTGGAGAGTGGGAGTGAAACCGGTTAGTTTTCCTCTTTAAGTTTATTTTTTTTACCATCAGTTTTTTTAATTATGTCAAACAATATTCAGCTCATTTTTACAGCAATACTCAAATTCTGTACCACTAAGAATATTTTTAAATATATATATATATATATATATGTTTTGAACAATAAAAAATATTAAAAAATTAAAATCTTCAGACACACTGGGTTGTATATTAATATTCTTTCGTTTTTTACTATTTCAATTAAATTCCTCAACTCGTTTCAGCCAACATGGCCATCATCAGGAGAAAAAGATTTCTGCTTGTTAGTAGCAGTGCACTAGAGAAATGAATGACTTGATGGAGAAAATGAACTTTATCTGCAGTTTTCATTTGTTTTTTTTTATTTTTTTATCATGAATTTTGGTCAGCCCTTGTGTTGATCAAACAGTTTCTTTTAAGTTGTTATTTAAGATAAAGGCTGGATGGATTCATGCTGCTCTGAATTCCTTTGGTCATTTTGGTTCATGGAAAGGGAATGTGTCTCTGTTAAGTGTGTTATTTGGTTCTTAGGAAGTTTGTGAGTATGATGTGTGTAAGTGTGTATATTAATATGGGTGTGTTATCATTTAGCTCATTAAGGAGTGAGTGAGTATGATGTGTGTAACTGTGTATATTAGTATGGGTGTGTGTATAAGTGTGAGGCCTCAACACCTCCGCAAGCATGTCTATCTTGTGTGGGTGAGAAATGTGGGTAGGGCCTGATTTGTGGGGTTATATATATGTTTCACTGAATAATATAGAATTTTGAATAATATAAATTTATTATGAATATAGCAACAACATATTAAAGTGCAAATAACATTTTTATACTAAATACTATTTTACATTTCTACCAATTCCTGGTCAGTTTCCTTATACTGAAAGGCTTGTTTTGTAAAAACTTACATAACTACAATTTATAAATTTTATAATTCTAAAATAACTATAACATGTTTTTAAAAATCACAGAATTCAGATTTCATCAAAGTTACAATAGCATTTTTGTCTTTCTAATTTCACCTCAAAGATGAGCTTAGAAAAAACTGAAAGTATTTGAGTTTAAAAAAAAAAGGCTATGGTGCTTTCCTTGATGAATTTCATCTTAATATCAAAAAACTGATTAGGAAAAGATCAGTATAAAAATAAATAGACATAATATGTCTATATTATTCAATGAAGATATGCTGCATATATATATATATATATATATATATATATATATATATATATATATATATATGTGTGTGTATATATATATATAGATAATATTAGTGGTAAATATACATACATATATGCAATCATATATCTAAAATATATAAATATATATGCATACATACATGCACATACATATATATTTGTAGGTCTGATGAATTGGATCGTATTTACGATTCCAATGGAATAAATTATGACCATGGAATATTAGTGTTTAAGCCTTTTATTATATATATATATATATATATATATATATATATATATATATATATATATGTGTGTGTGTATATGTGTGTGCTTAGATGCTTATGTGTATGAGGAAATGCTGAAAAGTTCTCACCCTAACTACTTCCCAAAATCAGATGAAATGACTATATATATATATATATATATATATATATATATATATATATATGAATATAAAAGTGAACATTGAAGTCAACACTCAGGGTGACAGGCTGTTTCATGTGCAAACGTCAGGCGGCCTGATGATTGCATCTAGCATGAAACGGCCAGTGTCAATGTTCACTTTTATATTTATATTTTACATACGCTCTATCTCTGATATTGAGCTCTTTATCCTATAAATATAGCACATTTTTAAAACTATATTTATATTATATATATATATATATATATATATATATATATATATAAATCCTTTGGTTATGTGGATAATCCCAAGGAGTTACTAAGATGTGAATATCCAGGTAAAACTCCAAGTAGACAGCAGCTCAATGTATGAGAATAATAACAAATCATACAGAGCAATACAATTAAGAAAAATTTAAAAGAAAAACCTTACATTTGGATTTTCTCGTTATAAACTTAAATTTATTTCAACAGTTGGTTTACACTGCATCTTCAAACTGGTTTCAATGCACCAAACTCAAGAAATAAATTGATTCAAAAAAAAAAAAAAGCACACAGAAAAGAAAGAAAAGAAAATTTTGAGGTAGCGGTGGGTGAATAAATGACAGGAATGAGAATGCAATAAATGACAGGAACAGGTAAAAATGAAGACAGGTGGGAGAGGAATATATCTTGTTGGATGAAGGTGCGTGGGCTGAGTTTTTAATGAAACTGTTTCATACATCTCTTCTGTCAAACGCCATAAGAATAGATGATCTTTTTTAAAAATATATATTAAGTGTGGCACAAGGTCAAAAGTATGTTACTTGAAAAAATACATATCTGAATACGGAAATAATTTTGATAGTATTATGTAAACATACACATATATATATTGCATTAATATATTAACAATATACAACACATAATACATATTATTATCAAACCACCAAATAAATCATAACAAGCAACAACTGGAAAAATCAAATTCTAAAAGAATAAAGGCCTATTTTTAGGATAGTTTAAATTTCTATGGTGACATTTAAATATAATTTCATTTCTTTTGTTCAATAATTGATCTATGTTTACATATTTAATTATTTTAATTTTTTCTTTGAGGCAAAGGTTGCATCTATTCTTAAAGTTGTAGCATGTTTGGGACTTATTGAGGATTTTCCATTCTATTTGGGGTGTAAAGCCTTTGTCTTTTAAATTCCAAAAGTGTTTTGATAGAGCTGTTTGATATTTTAGAAACTCATTTGAAAATGAATGCCTGTGATTGTATAATCTCTGCTTCCAATTCCCAGCTGAAATTCCTATGTATGTTTTTATTTTTAAATTTATTTTCATTTGAGAATATGGTTGCTTGGTAAATGACATTTTCATATCAACATTTACCTTCAACTGGGCATTTATCTTTGGTTCTACAATTACAATGTGGTACACTATTAGAATTGTCCTTGCTAAAGAATTTATTTAATGTATTTCTATTTTGAGAATTTATAATACTGTACATGTTACTAGTGCATGAATAACTAATTTTTAGAGTTTTTCTACTGAAGATTTTGTGTAGTGGGTTAACTTTATCAAAGTGTTTTTCTATTAGTCTAAGGAAGTATTTGCCTATATTAA